ATCCCGTCCTAAGCACACAACCACACTCGTGCGGGATGCGGTCAATAGAAGGGCACGTATGTACATGCTGATTGCTGAAAGGCGCCGTTCCGTCTATCAGCTTTTCAGACACTCCCTAATACTAAAAATTAACACTAGGTTTGCCCTTTTACTTTTTTATTTTTGTTTCACCCTTCTAAACTTTAGTCCATGTAACATCAGATGTTTAGACACATGCATGTAGTATTAAATATAGACTAATTATGAAACTAAATGCACAGAGACTAATTTGTGAGACGAATTGTTTGAAAAAGGCCCACAGTTAGCCGTCTATTTGAAAAAGGCCGTGTTGTTCCATTTGAGTTGAGGCCCATGAATACCTTAGTCCACGGATACGTTGCCATTCCTCTCTTGGCCCATTAACTCTTTTTGTTGACCAAGCCCAGGAATTCAATTTTGGGCTTAATGTATCACAAACGGGGAAGATTTTTTAGAAAATATTTGTTTCCCTAAAAACAGTTTTGCACATCTCTGTATTTTTTTAAATAAGAGTTAAAATACACAGGTCCATTAAATAATGGAGTGTGATCTAGATCCATTAACTCAAAAACTATATATTTTTGGATCCTAAATTTTTAACCTGAGGCCTATACACCTTAGTTTGGCTTTTAGATTTGACGTGGCATGTGCAGTTAGCAGCAAACATGGCATGAAATTTGCATTAGTCCCTTTTCACATGGTCTCCCTCTCCCCTTGACCTCCCGCGCTGCCGCCGCCCCCCAGTTGACGATGATGATGGCATCGAACTATCGAAGGGTGTCATAGCCTCCTTGGAGGCATCATATTGTTGAGAACCCCTTTCCCAAACACAAACACCCCTCACCTGCCATAGGGTGATGCTCCGTTTTTTGTGTTTATTAGGAGGTTACTTTGGTTGTCGTCGTTGTTGTCATGTGAGTCTGTTGTGCTATGTTATTGTAACTTACTCCTCTATTGATACATGCCTAGTAAAGCTTTTGCCGATAGCTTTTCCAAAAAAAAAGTATAATACGCTCACAAAATATGTTTTTATACTATGGCCCCGTTTGGTCGGGCTCCGGACGGCTCCGGCTCCTACGTTGAATCACTGTTCATGTACTGTTCACCGAAGCCGTTTTTTCTCAAAACTCAGTTTCCTCTCTCACTGACACCACCGGAGCCGGAGAAGCTCGTTTTTCTGACTCCCGTGGCTCCGGCTAAATGGGGCCTATGTCTACTTGCCATAAATGTTGAGCCTCCTCTCCATAAACTTAGTCGAACATTTGTATAATTAATTTGACTTAAAACATACTCCTACTAAAACTTCTTTCTGGGATCGGATGAAATAACTTTGTTTATTAGGTATAGCTTCTAAAGCTCCAATCGTGTATGTCACTACCATTTTGCACCCCATGAGCATCTGTAACCATGATTGCTTCGAAATAAAGAAAACAGCCCATAATCGTTCATAACTCCCGTCGCGAGTTTCCAGCGAGGAAGACATGACATTTCGTTTGCAAACTACCGGGCCCACGATCATTGCAAATAAAAGGATCACACAAAATAAAAGATCTCGATCGGCCACATGTATAGTTGCGACCAATAATCACCGAATCATGGCGCGGCGCGCCCAGGTGGCGTGGGATGGGGGCCCTTGTTCGATTCGATTGGATAGTAGGAGTACGCACGCAGCACGCAGCACGCAGCACGCAGCTGTGTCTGAAGTGTTGCCTGTGGCGCTGCATGCGCTCAGGTCGGCACTCGGCAGCACCGCCCGGTCCCCGGCCCCGCTGCCGTTTGCCCGTTTCATTTCGCCCCTGGCCGCACGGTCCCACGCAGGAAAACGCCGTGCCAACACTCGTTGCCCTTGCCCATCATCCATCAGGCCATCAGACACCGCGCGCGCTTCGGCCTCAGTCCTCAGACGTACCGGCGGCCGTCCGGCACGACGTGCGCTCGTGAAGCTCGCTGCGCCTTTTGCGATTCTGTGCGCGTGTTGCATGCATGCTACCGCTCGTATGCCCGTGACGCGCCTTCGTTGGTAGGGCTCGCATTTGAGGCGTCGTCGGCGCGGCAGCTGGCCGGAGCGGTAAGATCTGACGAGGTCCTCTGGGCTCTGTCACTGACCTGGTCGTCACGGGACATGGAACTAGTAGCTGGTAGTAGCTGCCTAGCTCAGCTCCTATCATCGTCCTGCAACTGCAAGTCAAGCCGCTCGTCGTGCTTACTCTTCTGCACCGGTTCAGTTGCGCTTGCGTTGAGCGCCACGGGCTGAACCAAACAGAGGTTCGGTAGTTATTCAGAAAATAAAAAAGAACAGAGGTTCAGTTGCTACACACACATCTGACATGTGACATCCCCGAAACAAGGGGTTCCGTAACAAGACAAATGTTCCATTCAAGAGTCGACAGAACGCCCCAAAACGTGTAGATACGTTGGTCAAAACTCTGAATCTGCTTGAGAAAATAGTTTTTAACAAAACACACACACAGGAAAAGGGTGGTCAAACACGCACGGTGCAGCATCGTTTAGTCTTTGCGGTCGTACTGCTACTGAACTTCTTTCGCTGTCGCCGTACCGAGCGTTGGTTGGAGCCAGAAACCGCGGCCAAAGTGGCACGTACGTACCACGCAGCAAACCTAGCATAGGAAAGCGCCCCTGTTCCCGTTGAAGACCCTGATAGTAAGGCCTGGTTTAGATTGCAAGTTTTTTCACTCTTTTTCTATCACATCAAATCTTTGGATACATGTATGGAGTATTAAATGTAGATAAAAAAATAACTAATTACACAGTTTGATTGTAAATTACGAGATGAATCTTTTAAGCCTAGTTAAGCCATGATTAGACAATAATTGTCAAATACAAACGAAAGTGCTACAGTACCGAATACTGATTCCTAACCCCAATCTAAACGATGCATAATAATGTTATCCTCTCTGCTTCTCTAGGGCTCCACAACCACAGCGAACTGAGAGTACGGATGAACATACATTTCGTATTATTATTACAACCATAAATAAATAAGCATTCATCTCTCGAATCCCTACCTACCGCGTGGACCGTCGGATAAGATCCAACGTCCGGGTCTCACGCCGGGCAGGTAGAGCGACAGTAGCAGGGCGGACGGCGATGGAGGACGAGACATTCCAAAATCCAAGTGCGGCGACGACGTACCCGGCGATTCGCCGAGCCGACCGTCCTTGCCGTCCCCGCACACACCACCAGACCAAAGTACTCCGTGCTACCATTACCACTAGGCGCTAGCCTAGCTGTGCCAGGACAGTGAAGGGAAGGAGAGGATCAGTGAGGGGGTGTCTTAGTCTCGTCCTATATTTTAGTGATTGTCTCATCGAATATTTAGACACGTGTATGGAGTATTAAATATAGACTAATTAAGAAATTAATTACGTAGCTTACGACTAATTTATGAGACGAATCTTTTAAGCCTAATTAGATCATGATTTGACAATGTAGTGCTACAGTAAACATATATTAATGATAAATTAATTAGGTTTAATAAATTCGTCTCGTGGAGTACTGACAAATTCTCTAAACACGATACTCTCGTGACATGTCCTATATTTTAGTTACGGAATCAAACACCCCCGAAGCACAGCCGCACAGGGCGAGAAGGACGACGACGGACGGCGGTCGGCCCCGCTGCGTGGTGCGTGCGTTGCACAGTGCAGTGGTTCGTCGTCGTCGGCCTTGATGGAGGTGGTGGTGGCCACTGGCCAGCCATCCGCCGGTGGGCCTCGCCGGAGAGGCAAGGCAAAACTGATGCCGGCAGGAGGCAGGACGAGGATGGGGCACTCCCCTCGTGCCGAAGCCTGAAAACTGCGCTGCTGCTCAGGTCAGCAGGCCAGGCGAGTTTAATCTCTCGCGCTAATTTCGTCTGGGAGCTCGTAGTACCTGGTTGCTTTCAAGTGCAAAACAAGTAATTGAGTGAGAAACATGCTCCCTCCCTGTCCCTTCTTGCACTGAAGTTAAAAGAAATTGTGACTTGTGAGTGCTGGCACAGACGCCGTGGACTGCACACAGGCTTGAAGAAAAATCGTGTGGATATATGGTACGGTGTGGCGAGCCGGCAAATGCTAGGGAAGATGCTCACCAGTCACTAAGCCTGCTGTGTTTAGTTGGGTGAAATTTAGTGAATTTTAGTAATTCGGTTATTGTAGCACTTTCGTTTTTATTTAGTAATTAGTGTTCAATCATGGACTAATTAGGTTCAAAACGTTGGTTCCGCGATTTTCAACTAAACTGTATAATTAGTTTTTTTTTCGTCTACATTTAATGCTCCATGCACGTATCGTAAGATTCGATGTGATGGCTACTGTAGTATTTTTTGAGAATTTGGATTTGGAACTAAACCTGGCCTAAGCCTCACTCGGTGTTTTCACGCAGCTGACAGGTCCAAAGGAGATGAGTAGGAGAGACCTGCAGAAATTGCCAATGGCCTAGCAAGAAGCCAAGATAGACGTACATGTACCGCTACCAAACAAACAGGGCCTTCGAAAAGTTACAAAACACCGCCGTACGACCTCGCAGTCGGCCTCGTCTCAATATCTTCACTCCCGATCCCGTCCTTTTCCGTAAACCACCCCCACATGGCCGCTCTCACTGCCAAGCGGGCCCCGCGCTGCCAGTGTCTCCCTCCCCTACTGTCCTCTTCTCCCCATCTCCCCGTGCGCCCCGAATAAAAACGCCGAGCAGCTCAACAGTTCCGCACACATAGCGTCGCCATACCAGAGTGCTCGCAAAATCGCATCAGGAGGGAGGAAAAAAAACTTGAAAAGAGAGAGGAGCTGCTAGCTCTGTCTCTCTCCGTCTCGCTCCCTCGCTCGTGGCCTTGTTGCATGCCCAATTGCAGGAAAGCCACAAAGTCTCGTGTTCCAGCGGCAGGATCTCCTCTCGCGAACCCACAGTAAACAACTCGGCAGCTAGTTTGGCTCTTTACCCGAGGAGGCGAGGAGCGAGAGGGAGGCGGCGGTGTACGGAGCAGCATGAGGCTGCCGCCACCTCTATTGCCGTTCCTGTGCTCTCCCGTCTTTGTGCTCCTCCTGCTCCTGGCCGCGTGCTCGTCCCCGGCAAATGGGAGGGCCGCGCAGTCGCCTCCGGGCGCTGCTGCGCCTGTCGCCAGGCACGTCCGCGCCGCCGACGCCGCTGCCGGCGGCGCCAATGGGACCGCCTCCTTTGCTCCGGCGTTGCCGGCGCCGCCTCCCGTCGGTATGTTACCGGTGTCAGGGAACAAGCGTTTTTCGTTATTTCAGATTTTATTTTTGCGGTTTCGCTGTTTCTTGTTTCGACTTTTTTTTTGGGGGGGAAACTCTTTTTTCCTCTTTGATGAAAACTTGCAGACTATTTCCTGAGCGGCTGCAGTGGAAGCTTTTGTTTCTTCTGAAAATGGCCAACAAGAGCATTGGTTTTATCCAGAGCTCGTTTTCTTTCGCAATTTGCTCAATGAAATTTACTGGAGAAATGTTTTTTTTTCATGGAAATTTGGGATCTTGCATTTCGTTCAAATTAGAGATAGAGAGAGGACCGTTGCCGAAAATTAGCTGCGCTTAATGGTCATCAAGTCTGTTCTTCCCTCCGCTTGACGGTTTCAGTTGAAAAATCTAGTGGTGTTTCCGGAGCAATTAGTCTCTGAGCTCACCGCCGTTTCAAAAACCTGATCTTTTCCACGCCCAAAAGCAGTAACTGTGGAGTCATCGTGACCTGCCTGTTTCCTCTGCAGTGATCATCGTGGAGCGGCGCCATCGTCTCCACCGCGAGCTAGTCATCGCCTCCGTCCTCGCCTCCATCGCCATCGTCGCGATTATCCTCTCCACGCTCTATGCGTGGATCCTGTGGCGGCGGTCTCGGCGGCTGCCCCGCGGCAAGGGCGCCAGGAGCGCAGGTCTTGGCTCACTTCTCTGGACTGCCTCGGCTGGCCCTTTAATTCCTGAATTGCTCATGGCCCGCTCACCTACATTGCGCAGACACCGCGAGGGGAATCATGCTGGTGCCGATCCTGAGCAAGTTCAACTCACTCAAGACGAGCAGGAAGGGGCTTGTGGCGATGATCGAGTACCCATCGCTGGATGCGGCGACAGGGAAGTTCAGTGAGAGCAATGTGCTTGGTGTGGGCGGCTTTGGTTGCGTCTACAAGGCAGTTTTCGATGGCGGTGTTACCGCGGCGGTCAAGAGGCTGGAAGGAGGTGGCCCTGAGTGCGAGAAGGAATTCGAGGTGTCAATTCTTGTCCATTGGCCATTGCTGCCAGCGATAACTGACGAGGGGTTATTTCCCGTTCTTGTCCTGACTATTTCGGGTGTGGTTGCTGGCAGAATGAGCTGGATTTGCTTGGCAGGATTCGGCACCCCAACATTGTGTCCCTGCTGGGCTTTTGTGTTCACGAGGGGAATCACTACATTGTTTATGAGCTCATGGAGAAGGGATCCCTGGACACACAGCTGCATGGTACAGTCTCCTATGATTTCTCTTTTTGCTTATGGATGCAGCTCTTTCTTGAGATCTTCATACTGGGAGCTTTTCATGTGTGGCTATCTTCAGGGGCTTCGCATGGATCAGCCCTGAGCTGGCATATCCGGATGAAGATCGCACTCGACATGGCCAGGTTCTTATGATCTTATCCCTGCACTTTCCTTCAAATGAGTGAATGGGTGATGAGTTTTAAATTGAAGTGCTGATGATTGGCTGGCTAGTAGTTTATAACATGCATTGGTAACATAAACTGGGCAGGGGATTAGAGTATCTCCATGAGCACTGCAGTCCACCAGTGATCCACAGGGATCTGAAGTCATCTAACATACTTTTAGATTCTGACTTCAACGCTAAGGTACACTTCCCTTTTTCTTTAAGGACAACTTACTATTCATATTGTCTTCATTTCACGGTGTTGGAAATCAGCTGAATTTTTGAAGTTCATATCTTTTTGCTCACATGTGCAGATTTCAGATTTTGGTCTTGCAGTGACCAGTGGGAATATTGACAAGGGAAGTATGAAGCTTTCTGGGACCTTGGGTTATGTGGCTCCTGAGTACCTATTAGATGGTATTGTGTCAGCTTAATTGTCAACTTCGACTCACATGAATAAACAACTTAATTACCGATGGTGAAATTCTACTTCCATCCGGTAACTTTTAGCTATTGTGTCAATTTCAGGGAAGCTGACTGAAAAGAGTGATGTATACGCATTTGGAGTGGTGCTTCTTGAGCTACTGATGGGAAGGAAGCCTGTCGAGAAGATTAGTCAAACTCAGTGTCAATCAATTGTGACATGGGTACGGTGCAAAAAAATTACACAGCATATCTCTAATTAAGTCAAATTCCACAATTTGGAACTTTAGTAGTAAAATGACCAATTGTCAACTCTCATTTTCATGCAATGTTTATTGCATCTTGATTTTATTTTATCATATACTAGAAAATATCGACTTCACCATCAGTGCTAATATTTAAGGAGTCAATGCAATTTCTTTGTGTGCCGGTATTTGACATGCTGAAAAATCACAAACAGGCCATGCCGCAGCTGACTGACAGAACAAAACTTCCCAACATAGTTGACCCAGTGATCAGGGACACGATGAATCCAAAGCATTTGTACCAAGTACCGTTTTGATAGCCTGTGAATGGTCTTTATTTCAGATGTATTTATCCTTCCAACTATTTTGATTGCTCTTCTGTACTTCTGCAGGTGGCAGCAGTGGCCGTTCTATGTGTGCAACCAGAACCAAGTTACAGACCGCTGATTACTGATGTTCTCCACTCTCTTGTCCCTTTAGTGCCTGTGGAGCTCGGAGGGACACTGAGGGTTGCAGAGCCACCTTCCCCAAACCTAAAACATTCTCCTTGTTGAGATGTCCTGATCGGTCGAAGATCACAGTTACATGCTGATGAACTTGGATGATGCTTATCAGTAACTTATCACCCTAGCTGTGTACCAGAGGATGACTGTCCAACCTGCCAGTTGCTGGTTGGATCGAGAGAGAATTCTGGTTTGAAAAGAGTTGTCTCCTATGTCTTTGCTTGTACAAAGAAGTGAAAGAAACAACACTCTTTTCCTTAGAATTTAGGGTCCTTCTGTACAGATCAAAGTTTCTCCAACACTATAACTTAAAGAATTTGAGAATGATGTGCTTTGGATTCCACATGGGTATCCGAGCACTTTGGCTTGCTGCAATATTTTGCTTCTTATCGTACTCTGATAAAACTGAAAATGTTTTTATGTTGTTAACTAGTGTGTTTTTCCCCCATCACATCCATTTTATGATCCAAATCAGAATAAACTTGCATTTACTTCACTAGTTCTGCATATCAACAATAAGTTGCTTTATTCCAAAGTTTTGCTCCGTTGGTTGTGGTCAATCTGTGCCTCTGTGGGCCTCTCAGCTGCAGTCCAGTCTGTTGACAATGGAGCAAGCATCTGTTGAACAGGTAATAGCCCAACAGGCAAGAACAATGTGTCAATTATTGGAACATGATAATGATTGTACTGTTAGACACAACAGTGTCTCTAAACCGTAGGTCGGGGTAAGCATCCTACTTAGGGTTCCTCTAGTTCGCCCTGGCAAAGTTGCGCCACAGCCTCGTGGACGCCGGTGTCGAGGGAGCTCGGCGCAGTGGAGTCCAACGTAGTGGTGGCGAGGTCTAGTGGCGATGCAGAGACGACGGTGGAGTCGGTGGGGCTTCCCGTCGCTGGCAGCACTCACTTTAGATCGAATTAGGTTTTCTGTTGGTGGGTCACGGCGGCTCCAGTCAACCTCGTAGTTAGAGCCCTGTCTTCCCACCTCTCTTTATAGTGTTGTGCGATAGGGGCCCACCAACCATATTAGGGTTGGGCGCCCCCGATCGGGCCAGATCCAAAGACCCTGACCTATTGGTGGAGATTAACTAATATTCTCCCCCTTATCTCACTACCATCTTTCAATTTCATATCATTTACTTTTGTTCATTCCATTACAGATTAGCGCATAGAGCATGTTTTATTGTCACGATCAATTGCCGATAGATTTAACAGCTACAACACACCACTCTGTTCTGAAATAGATACTTAACTTTGGGCCTTCTTTTGTCCAGAAATTTTAGGCTTTCCATTAAACCCATGCTAGCTACATGTTCTCTAAACACGTTGGGTGGTAAACCTTTGGTAAGCGGATCCGCGAGCATCTTTTCGGTACTTATATGCTCAAGACTTATGACATGATCCCAGACTTTATCTTTCACAACATAATACTTTATGTCAATGTGTTTTGCAGCACCACTTGACTTATTGTTGTGAGCATACTGTACTGCCGGATTATTATCGCAGTATAACTTAAGTGGTCTATAGATGTCGTCAACCACCTTCAAACCGGGTATGAACTTTTTTAGCCAGTTCACCTGCCCCGTTGCCTCATAGCACGCTACAAACTCGGCATACATTGTGGACGATGTAGTGACGGTTTGCTTTGAGCTTTTCCATGAAATAGCTCCTCTTGCGAGAGTGAATACATATCCAGACGTGGATTTTCTATCATCTCCCGTATAATCAGAATTTGAATATCCCACTATATGGAGTGAATTAGATCTTCTATACGTCATCATGAGACTTTTTGTTCCTTGCAAATAACGCAAGACTTTGTTTACCAATTTCCAGTGTTCTGTTTCAGGATTGCTCTAGAATCTGCCAAGTAACCCGGTAACAAATGCCAAGTCAGGGCGCGTACATACTTGAGCATATTGCAAGCTTCCGACAGCTGAAGCATATGGAACCGCTTTCATTTGATCGATCTCATATTGGTTCCTGGGGCATTGAAAATCTCCATATCTGTCACCCTTGACTATAGGAGCAGGTGAGGAAGTACATTTGTGCATACTGAATTTCTTTAATATCTTTTCTATGTATGTCTTTTGTGACAGTCCTAATACCCATTTACTTCTATCTCGGTGAATCTCGATTCCTAGAACGAACGAAGTTTCACCAAGATCTTTCATATCAAATTTTGAGGATAAAAACTCTTTGTCTCCAGTAGTAGACAGATATCACTACTAGCAAGTAAGATATCATCCACATACAGGACAAGGAAGATAAACTTCTCATTCTTAAACTTTGCATAGACACAATTGTCCTCTACATTCTCTTTAAACCCAAAATTCCTTATTGTCTGATCAAACTTCAAGTACCACTGTCTTGAAACTTGTTTTAATCCATAAATGGATTTCTTTAGGCGGCATCTCATTCGTTCTTTTCCTTCCATGACAAAACTCTTCGGTTGTGCCATGTAAACATTTTCCTTCAAGTCCCCGTTGAGAAATGTCGTCTTTACATCCATCTGATGTAATTCTAAATCGTAATGTGCCACTAATGCCATTATGATTCTGAAAGAATCTTTACATGAGACTGGAGAAAAAGTCTCATTGTAATCAATCTCTTCTCTTTGCGTAAAGCCTTTTGCCACAAGTCGCACTTTATATCTCTCTATATTCCCTTGAGAGTCAAGTTTTGTTTTGTAGACCCATTTACAACCTACTATTTTGGCTCCTTTAGGAATTATTTTCAAGTCCCAAACTTTATTGGCATTCATTGATTTCATTTCATCTTCCATGGCCTCAAGCCACTTTGATGAATGATCACTTCTCATGGTTTCTTCAAATGAGGTGAGATCATCCTCCATTTGAAATTCCTCAGTGTTGTATACTTCATAGTCAGCAGCAATAGCTGATTTTCTAACTCTTTGAGACCTTCTAGGGGCCTTCACATTTGGCACATCTTCTGTTTGAGGCTGTTGTTGCTCCCCCTCATGTGTGGCAATAGGTTCTACAGGATCCTGAAGAACAGGTTCCTCATCATCATTCATTGTTGCCACAGGCGGAATAACAACAGGTGTTGGTACCACAATATCTTGCACTGTTGGTGCAACGACAGCAGGTAGTGAGAAAAATGGCTCATGAATCATTAGAGTGGGCGCATACACCCGCTTCTCTTCAAGGTCAATTTCTCGAGCTACCATGCTCCTCCTCATCATTTCATCCTCTAGGAAGACATCGTGTCTCGTTTTCATAAACTTTGTATGTCTGTCTGGACAGTAGAAACAAAAACCTTTTGACTTTTCTGGATAGCCAATGAAATGGCAACTTACTGTTTTGGGATCTAGCTTCCCAATGTTTGGGTTAAATACTTTAACCTCGGCAGGACTCCCCCACACACGTAAGTGGTTTAGTGAGGGTACTCTTTCTGTCCACAACTCATACGGTGTTTTGGGTACCGACTTACTTGGTACTCTATTGAGAATATGAATGACAGTTTTTAACGCCTCCATCCACAGGCTCAATGGTAAGGTGGAGTAACTTATCATACTGCGCACCATATCTATGAGGGTACGATTGCGTCTTTTAGCTACTCCATTCTGCTGAGGTTCGCCCGGTGTAGAATAATGTGTTACTATGCCATTCTCCTGTAAGAATCTTGCAAAAGGTCTAGGAACTTGGCCATATGAGGTATGCTGACCGTAGTATTCCCCCATGGTCGGACCTGACTATCTTAATCTTTAAATTATGTTGGTTTTCAACTTTTGCCTTAAATATCTTAAATTTATCCAATACTTCTGTTCTTTCTTTGATTGGATAAATATAGCCATAACGGAAGTAATCATCTATGAATGTTATGAACGAATCATAACCATCCACACTCTTTACAGGAAACGGACCACAGATGTCTGTGTGAATAATCTGTAAAATTCCTGCGCTTCGTTTGACATCTTTCTTAATTTTCTTTACATACTTTTCTTTTAGGCATTCTCTGCATTGTTCTAAATCTGAGAGCTCTAATGGAGGAAGAATATTATTCTTAACTAGTCTTTCTATTCTCCCCCTCGAAATATGGCCTAAATGACAGTGCCATAATTTCAACGACGTATCGTGAGCTCTCTTTCGTTTTCTGATTACATCCGCAGATGAGGATACATTCTCATTGTCGCACGTAACGTTTTCATCATCGCATACAACATTCATATCATCACGTAGTGGTAACAAATAGTATGTGCTCTCTTATGCCACCATTTTCAGAGTAACTCTCTGTCATCAGCTGCTTTTGTCAGCTGGGTAGCATGTCTTTGAAGAGCTAGTGAACTGACTCTTTATTCTATCGAGGTACTCGGTGACCGTGTCACACTCTGGGATTGAGCCCACAATTACAGGCTCAATCGTGTTCTTTATCACAGCCAAATATTTCTTGTTGGCAGTGACCCACTTCCTATGCTCAAGGTCATATGACATCTTTTGGGACTCAAAATCCCTCTCTTTAGTTGCCTAAGCGACATCAGCCTAGTTTGTCTCCCTCACCGGTGCCACAGGCTCAGTGGGATACGGTGAGGTGACTACCCAGTCCACCTTAGCCAAGATGAAAGCCAGGTCAATCTTTTTCTAACATAAAAAATAACAACAATTGCATGCCTTGATTCCAACGTTGGCCAAAATTAAAATATACAACTGTTCTTATACACTAATTCTACATCACCGTTGGACAGAAATAGAATTAATACATAAAATCATTAAAATTTATAACTATTTTTATACACTAATTCTACATCACCGTTGGGTAGAAATAGAATTAATGCATAAATCATTAAAATTACGATATTGTTATTAACAACGTTGGTCAGAAAATAACATCATAATCATGTTAAAATCACTTTTTCTCCACTTAAATACCACGTTGGTTCAAAATAACTGGAGAATAAACAATTTCTTTAGCAGCGGAAACATGAAAAAATTCATTATCTATTTTTCAGAAGCATTAATCTTTTCTCAAATATTCTCTGAAAAATTATCCCGTTGGTTCAAATTTTAACAGAGATATTTAAAGTAGACAAATATCAT